GGTGGGAAAGCTCATTTGTTTGCCAGGTCTGGACAGAGAGAGGCCCACCCCTCTCTTCACCTTCCTGGAGGTGCCAGGAGTCAATTGCCAGGCTGCTGACCCCTGCCCAGGCCATGGCCCAACCCCCCCAAGGCACCTCCACGCACAGAACGTCTTGCTGCTGAGAGAGACCCAGGCCCCGCCCCCCACCTGCTCGCCCTGCCGTCCAGGCCCCAGAGCTGGTGTGTGGCACCCCTGAGACCACACTGACCTTCACACTGTTCACCACCCCCAAAGATTCGAAGGTGCCCAGGCCAGCTGTCTGGGCAGGACTGATGCCTGGTCACCCACCAATTCCAGGTACTGATCCCCAAGATTGTTAAACAAGGCCAAACACTCCTGCCCCCAAGATGATGGGACGGAAAAAGAAAAAGGTGAGGCTGGGGGCATGAGCCACGTACCCATATGAACCCATCCTTCCTTCAAAGTCTCTTGTTTTGTTTGCTCTGAAATCATAACAAAAGCCTCCCTTCTCTGGACTTCAGTTTTCGCAGCTGTGAAGTGGGGAGTGAGGTGGTCTCTGGCTTCTCGGGCCACGTGGGAGCTGAAGTGCCCTGGGCTTGCAGGTGTTGTCGACTCCGACTGCCCTTAGTTCCCGCCCTCTGTTGCTGGGAGCACGCAGGCTCAGAGAGCCCACTGAGATGGCCCGTCGGCCCTGCTTCGAGATCCGCCAGGGGATTCCCATGCTGCTACGCAGGAGCCCTGACGCCCCAGTGCCGCACTGCCCCCCTGATCTCCCAGCCCTGGCCCTGACCTTCCAGGGCCCGTGCCCCCTGCCCCAGGACGCAGGTGCTCAAATGCCTGGGGTGAAGAAATTTGTGTGTGTTCTGTTCTCTGCTGTATCCCTGGTGCCTAGCACGTAGTAGGTGCTTAATAAAAAGCTGTGGCTAGCCGGGCATGGTGGCTCATGCCTGTAATCCCAGCACTTTGAGAGGCCAAGGTGGGAGGATTGCTTGGGCCCAGGAGTTTGAGACCAGCCTGAACAACATAGTAAGATTCTGTCTCTAAAAAAAAAAAAAAAAAAAAAAATTTAAATTAGCTGGATGCAGCGGTGCTCATCTGGAGTCCTGGCTACTCAGGAAGCTGAAGCGGGAGGATTGCTGGAGCTTGGGAGTTCAAGGCTGCAGTGAGCTATGATGATGCCACTGCACTCTAGCCTGGGTGACAGAGTGAGACCCTGTCTCAAAAAAGAAAAAAAAAGCTGTGGCCAAGCAGCAGAGCCCTGCCAGGAGGGGACTAGAATCTCAGTGCAATGAGATGCAAACAGGTCAATGTTCCCTTACTGGCCGCTAACTGGCAGGGCTGAGCCTGTGCCCGCGACTGTGTCACCCACAGGGATGGCAGAAGGCACACAAGTCCTTGCTAACTGGGAACACCCTCTTTGCAACTGCACTCTTAGGTCCAATACGCCAAATAGCCGGGGGTGCCCAGGCCCCAGGGTGGGTTCCATGTCATTGCCCTTGATTTTGATGTCTCTGGTTCCTGGTGTTCTCTGCCCACAGCTGGCCCCTCCTTAGACTCCACCCTCCTTATTAAGCCTCTTTCTGAAATGCTGCCCACTCAGGACCAGGCATCCCAAGCTGCCAGCCGATGCCCCCTGCCCCAGAGAGCTGCACTCAGGGACCCAGGGAGTGTGCACGGGAGTCCGGAGGAGGAGCCAGAGTTGTACTTGATTCCTAGCTTTTGAAAGCATTTTTAATAGCTGGGTAGAATCCCCTGTAAGGATGTTCATACGTATATGTAGTATTATATATTCCTATTTCTTCTTTTGTGAATCAAGTTTATGTCTTTTTTATTGGGGTGATGTTTATAGATTTCAGTACTCTCTGTGTATCAGGAATATTAGTACTTTTATATTTATTTCAAATATCTTCTCCCATTTGTCTTTCCTTTGTACAGCGGTGAATCTTGGACCATTATAGAAGTTGACATAGATATACATTTTTAAAAATGTAATCAAATCTATCAATCCTTTTCTTTATTATTTCTGACTTTTGTGTCATCTTCTGAAAAGTGTCTCTGTTCCAAATACAACTCTTTTTGCCGCTATAAGTGAATACTCAGGTTATGAGTTCAAGGGAGTACATTGTGGCCCAGAGTAGGAGCCCCAAAACCAGAGAAGTACGGTTGGAGTAGAGCAGGACCACGAGGTCGTGGAGTGAGAGACCCGGGCTCCAGCCCCGGCTCTGCCCCGCTAGCTAAGCTGCGTGCTTTGGGGTGAGAGGTTTAGTCTCTCCGAGCGTGTTTCCTCACCTGTAAAAAGCCTCCCCTGGCCGCCGCGACTCCCAGGCGAGTTTAGATGCCAAAACTGGAAGGAACATGAGGGGCCATTTTTAACTCAAGGCCCTAGAGACACCGCTGAGGAAACAGGCCCCGCCTCCCAGCCTCCAGTACAGCCTCTGCGCCCAGATGCCGGCCCTTCTGGGGCAGAACCGGGCTTCTTAGCTTCTCCTGGCCTCCCAGACTTCTGGGGGAGGAGGGGTGCAGGGGGAGGGAGAAGGGTGTGGGCTTTGAACCATCCGGCTCCTTCCATCCCTCTCCCCACCAGAACCACCCCCACCCAGGGAGCCAAATTGAGTGGGCTATTAACTCCTTCCCTGCTGGTCCTATCCTCCCTCCCCCCACTACACACATCCAAAAATGCCCCAGGTGATGGGCAGTCCCAGGGCCCCTGGGCCATCTGCCGGCCAGCCCCAGCCTACCGAGGGCAAGGCCGCCATCCGATGGGTAGGGCACTGGGATTAGCCGCTCCCGAGCTGGCCCACACTCCAGGCCCCGTGGAGGAGCGGACAGTGCCACACTCTGGCACCAGGCCAGCTTCAGTGCTCACACCCCAGCCTGCCACCCACCGCTGTGTGGCCTTGGGTGGCAGGGGAGCTGGCCAAGCCCCTGTCTGGCAAAGCTGCCTCCTGAGGTCTGCACCCTAGCGCTGCTGCATGGGCTAACCGAGAGTAAGCCTGAGAGGGGACACTCAGGGGAGGGAAGTCCCTCTTGGGGCTTGTCACACCCCAGTGGGTGAGTTCATGGGACCTGAGAATTAGGGGGATTTCACCATGACCCACAGTTCAAACCTCTCATGCAAACCAGCACGCGTGTCCCCTACTCCCTCATAAATCCTCCAATGCTGGCCAGGGTCAGGGGACTGGGACGCTGGTCCTGATGCAGGACATCTCTGAGGAAGCCTGCAGGTCCCCAGATTTCCATCCAGACGTGGGAAGGAAGGAGGGGGAGGCAGAAGGGTGGCAGCCCTGGCCCACCATCCATGCTCCAGGCCTCACCTTGGCCCCAGGCCTCCCTGGCCCTGGGCTGGCCTGCCCGGTGGGCACACGCCTGCAGGCCTTGCCAGGAGGCGCCAGCCTGGCAGCTGGCCTCACACCCAGAGCTGAAGCAGGAGCAGTTCTCGCCAAGCCCTTTGCAAGCTTTATTTCCCAGAAGGCTGTCCCCACGGGGAGGCACAGAGAAGGTATAGAGGGAGGGTACAATCCCGGCCTGGTCTGCAGATGCCTAGCTGGGCTCCAGGCTGCCAGGGAGTCAGTGAGAACCCTGGACAGTGGCCCTGCTTGTAGGCCCTCACTTCTGTGGCCCTAGGGAGCTCATGACAAGCCCTGCGCCCTCACAGCGACAGGGGGTCAATCTAGGGCTGGGAGGGACATGACTCACCCCTCCCAGCCTCACTGCAGGAACTTCAGGCACACTGAGCACTGGAAAGACATCAAAACCCACTCCCGACATTCTCGTTGGCCAGGTGGGAAAACTGAGGCTCAGATTGGTGGCACGAAGTTGAGACAGAGCTGGGCTGAAACCTAGTCCTTGCCCCAGGGCTGCTAGTCTCGCTGCTACACCACTGAAGCCGGGGGCAAAGCTGCCAGGTGTGGGTGGGCAAGGGGTGGGCAGTGAGGCTGGTCCTGGGAAGAGGCAGTCCAACCCATGAGGGGACACAGTGGGTCTTAGGATGCTGCCCGTCCCGCTGGCAGCGGTTTCCGTCCCTCCCCCATTCTTGCCTGGCAGCAGAATATGGGAGAGGGGGAGCGGCAGCTCTCATCAACACCTTGGCAGATGGCGACAGGCCCTGCTGGGTCCTGGGGGTGGGGGTGACCTCCTCAGTCGGGAAGGGGAGGGAGTCTCTGTAGGGCTGGCACTTCTGCCTTCTGGGGGGGTTCTCACCTCCTAATTAGTTAGTCACCAGGAAGTGAGGGAGCAAGGGACAGGGATGACAGTCCAGGCAGAGGGAACAGCCAGGGCAAAGGCTGGGAGGCAGGGGGGGCTTGGTGGGGGTGAGAAGCAGCTAGGAAGCCCGCGTGGCTGGATGCAGTGAGCAACGGCCATGGGACAGATGAGGTCAGTGTCCTGGCCAGTGTAAGGCTCTGAGAGAACCGGGAGCTACTGCAGGATTCTGAGCAGAGGAGAGGGGTGGTCCCATTTGAATTTGTAAAGGATCGCTCTGGCGGCTGTGTGACATGGGACGGGGTGGAGGGAGAGCCAGAAAGGAAACAGAGGAAGCAATCACCAGGACGAGGACATCGGGTGTCCGGGCCCCGGTGTTCGAAGTGCGGATGGTGAGAAGGGGTTGGAGTCTAGATGCGGTTTGAAGGTGGAGCTGCCACCATCTGCTATCAGGCTGGAGGGGGCTGTGAGATCTGGGAGTTACGGGCAAGGGCGCCTTCAAAAGCAGAGGCTTAGAGATGAGAGATGAGGTGGCCTGTCTCGTTCTGCAGGACATGAAGGGTCCCGGACTAGGGGAGGGGCAGAGAGGCACCGAGAGAGGTGGGGGGTGGGGAACCGAGGTAGGGAGAAAATGGGACAAGGTGACTACCTTCCAGAGTGGGCGGAAGGGTGGCCGAGGGAGTCAGGCACTTGGAGGGGAACCGTCGGGGGGCGAGAGTTTATAGGGTGGCAGTAAAGGGAGGTGCCACATTGGCAGAGACCACTCAACCCAGGCTCTCCCCACAGAACACTGACATCCCGGAGGAGCCCCTGGACACCTCCCAGAGTGCAGAGCCCGAGATCAGCCACCTGCCTCCCCCTAATAAGGAGAGCATCACGCTCACTCTCCACGGGGCCACCAACCTACCCCCCTGCAAGGATGGCTCTGAACCGTGGCCCTATGTGGTGGTGTAAGTAGTGGGGTGAGAGTGAGGGCAGGGGATGTGGGGGGCTGTGAGTGGAAACCAGAGGATGGCCATTGGCATGTGAGCACCCAAAGGTCAAGGACTGGGACCGCGATACCCAGCGGGAAAGTGCCAAGTGCGACTCACACAGGGGTGTGGGTCTACAGATGGGAGGCCTGGCATCTTCCCTGCTGCGTGGGAAGCTGCTCCCCAGAGCTGGGGACAGAAGGGGCCAAAGGGTCCAGAGAGCCACCCCTTGATCCCCCACCAACTGGGCAGGGCTTGGCCACAACTCAACCCCAGGGGGGCAGGGCCCTTGGACGCAGAGGCCTGGGCAGGGCTCCGTCGGGGTGATGGGCAGAGGAAAGGGAGGCATGGGGCTGCCCCTCCTGGCCTCTGGGTGCCCTGCCCACCCACGTGCAGCCCTGGGGTAGGGTCCTCACAGCTGCCCTCCCCTGTGGCTCCCACCCCTCCCCCAGTCATTTCCAACACTGGGGCTTCCCACGTTCCAGTCCTTCAGTGCACCCGCATACCCCCACCAGCCAGCCGCCGGCAGGGGACACAGCTCTCAGCCTGGTCCCCAGGCCTGCCATGCCACGTCCGCTGCTCACCCCGTGGGCCTGGGCAACACAGCCTCCTGCAGCCAACCTTCCGTGTCCATGCGGACTGGACATTTGCTCGGTCTTTATTGCAAAGCACCATCCTGTAACTCCCTCCAAGGAGCTTGTCATCCCTTAAATCCTGTAGACATCGGGAGCCAGCATGACTTGCCCCCAAGCCACTCTACACGTCCCTTCCTCCACCAGTATAGCGTCACCCAGTTCCCGCCGACAGTCTGTTTCCCACACGTCCTTCAGGGGCGTGCCTGCCCCGGCTCTCTCACCAACCCCTGCTGAAACCCCTTCACAGCCTTGCTCATGGCGCCTCCTGCCACGCAGCCGCCAGAGTTGAGCCCTCCCCACTCTGGAGCCCACGGCAGTGGCAACACTGGTCTGAAACACGTCATGCAAATTACGGTTTACGGCTCCTCTTCTGGCCCCAAAGCGGGGCTCCCTGAGCCTGGATCCAGGCAGGTCTCCTCCATTTCCGCAGCAACGCGCCCAGCACAGACCTGAGCACAGACTTAGGGGCCAAGGAGTCACTGAGGCAAACACCTGGTCCCTATGACAACAAGCCCCACACACACACACACAGTGAAAGGGGGTTAAGATGCCTTGCAGGAGACCAACAGGTGAAACACTGGCCTCCAAAGCCCATTTGTGCCAGCCCAGCTCCCCGGCCCTCCCTCCCCCAACCCCATTTCGGTGGTGAGGAAGGGACAGGTGGCGGAGCCGGCTTGGCAGGGAGGCTGGTTTCTAGCGGGGAGCTGCTTTCTCCCCTCAGCTATTTCCATAAACCAATTATCGACGATCATCTCGGGAGATTGAGGCCCTGCCTGTCACCAATCCAGCCCGGGCAGTGGGGCGGGGAGCTGGGTGGCCGCGTTGCTCCTCAGCAGGCACGGCGACCCGCGCCATCACCCCGTTGCCATGGGAACGCGCGGCTGGAGCCTTGGGGGCTGGGGGCTGGGGGTGGAGAGCTGGGCACACCCGGAGTCCGCCTGCGCCCTGCGGGCAGCTGGCATGTGGGGCGGGGAGACAGTGGCAGGGGGGGCGCGAGGCGGGGGAGAAAGGGCGCATCGCTACACCCTTCTCCACCGTCCCAGCGCTCCAGGCAGAGCCGCCACCAGCTTGAGGTGGTGCTAATGAGATGCAAATGAAAGGAGAAGGGAGGGCTTCTGAGAATCAGGCCCAGCTGTCGAGGCTTTCAGGGCTAGCCCCAGCCCCAGGCAGGAGCCCCAGAGGAAGGACCCAGAGCCTGAGAGGCCGCAGACCGGAAAGAATTTGATGTCCCTGCGTGTCTAATTATGAAAACACAGTAAGGAAGCCGCACTAGGCGTGAGAAAGTCCACTGGAGTTTTCATTTTGCTCGTGATGAATATTTCGATGCTTCAAATGTTTGTTTATTTGTTTGTTTGCTTATAAAGACTTAAAAGTAACACCCGAAACTGTAAAAGTCCTAGAAGAAAACTCAGGGGAAAAGCTCCTTTATATTGGTCTTGAGACCAATTGGGAATGATTTTTTTGGATATGACTCCAAAATATAGGTGACAAAAGCAAAAATAAACAAGTGGGACTGCGTCAAACCAGAGATTTTCTGCACAGCAAACAATCCAAGAAATGAACAAGCGGTCTATGGTGTGGGAAAAAGTATTTGCAAACCATGTATCTGATCAGGAGTTAATCTCCAAAATACATGAGGAATTCATACAACCCGATACCAAAAAAACAAATAACCTGATTTAAAAGTGGGCAAAAGGACCTGAATAGAAAATTCTCCAAAGAAGACACACAAATGGCCAACAGGTATATGAAAAGGTGTCAACATCACAGTCATCGGGGGAAAAATGCAAATCAAAACCACAATGAGATACCATCTCTCACCTGTTGGGGTGGCTATTATTAAAAAGACAAGAGAAAACAAGTGTTGTCCAGGGTGTGGAGAAAAGGGCAGCCTTATACGCTATTGGTGGAAATGTAAATTGGTGTAGCCAATATGAAAAACAATATGGAGGTTCCTCAAAAAATTAAAAATAAAACTATCATATGAGCCAGCAATCCCACTGCTGGGACTACATCCGAAGGAAACAAAATCAGTATCTCAAAGAGCTATCTGTACCCATATGTTCATTACACTGAAGTTCACAGTAGGCAAGACACAGAATCAACCTCTGTCCACTGACGAATGCGCGGATAAAGAAAACGTCTCATAGATGTGCAATCGTATGTATTGTACACATCGTGTGTATCTGTATACATACACACACACAAATGAAATAGTATTCAGCCATGAAAGAGGAAATCCTGCCATTCGCGACAACGCGGACGAACCTGGAGGCTATTACGTGAAGGGAAATGAGGCAGACACGGAAAGACATACTGACGACCTCACCTCCCTGTGGAATGCAAGTTGAACTCGTAGACGCAGAGACTAGAAAAAGAAAGTAGCAGTGGTTGCCAGGGGCTGGGGATGAGGGACGTGAGCAGATGTTGGTCAAAGGGTACAAACCTTCAGTTTTCAGATGAGCAAGCTCCGGGGATCTGAAGTGCAGCAGGTGGCGGTAGTTAGTGACACTGTATTGTGTATTTGAAGTTGGGTAAGATGATCCTAATTGTTCTCACCACACACACACACACACACACAAGGCAACCACATGAGGTGATGAAGGCGTTAATTCACTTGATTGTGGTAATCACTTCACAGTGTGCACATGTCAAATCATCACGTTGTATACTTTAAATCCATACAGTTTTTATTTGTCAATTATACCTCAATAAAGCTGGGGAAATATACATATATAAAATTTCACATTCTTTCCAAACATTTTTTCTCTTCTCCTTGCTGCCCCTGTTTTCTGGTGCCCTAAGCGTGGTCTCCCAGCGAGGTGTCCTGCTCTGCCATCCCGTGCTGTCTCACCTCTGACTGGGGCTGGGGACTCCGGGGACCCCTGGTTCCATCGTCCTCTCTGGGCTTGCTGCTCCCCAGCAGGCAGGCCCACAGTCGGGGTGTTGAGGCACAGGCCCGAGAGCGCTGCAAAGCCGTCCACTCATTCACCCCGTTGGTGGGGAGCTGAAGAGGTTCGGGCCCAAAGATGGTGCCCCTTGTTTGGGGCTTGGCAGCTTCACCTGCTACGTGGGCACGAGCCTTGAGCCAAGCTGGTACTAGAGCACGTCCTCCAGGCCAGACCACTCCAGACTGGCGGGTCACCCAGCTCACCATGTGCTTCCGCCTCTCTCCGTCTAACCACCGATCTGCTCCCATTCAGACCCCACTTCTCCATCAAAATCGCTTTCTCCGCGGCCACCAGCGACCGCCACGCCTGACCCTAAGTCCAACACGCATCTCGTCTTGCATGATCTCTCAGGGGCATCAGCCTCCTGGGACCACTCAGTCCCTTTGAAGCCCTTCTCCTCTTCCGAGATCCCCTACTCTCTTCCCTCTGTGGCCACACCGCTCTATCCCTTCTCCCTGGCCTTAAATGTTGGCCTGTCCCGGGTTTCAACCCTAGGTCACTCTTCTTTCCCTATACTGTCCTCTCCACGTGATCCCATCGCCAACCTGGTGTCACGAGAATCGCAGTCTTCACCCCATCCACTCTGTCACCATGTCGCTGTCTCTCCTGCCTCTCGAAGGAGCTGCTTCTCTCCACCAGCCCCACCCGCTCAGGCCGCTGCACGATTTCTCCAGCTGCTGTCGGTACATCTCAACCGGCCCCTGCAAACCCCCTTCGAGCCAAAGGGACCCAGTGGCTTCCCCTTGTTCCCGGAGTAAAGAGGATTCCAGGCCCAGCACGGGTGGGTCTTCGCTGGCCCCTCCAGCTCCCCGGCAACATGACCCTCACCCCCTGCCCTCTGCCCCCTTCCAGCTACGCCAGATATCTCTTGGTTCTCTGAGCAGACTCTGTTTCCTCCCACCCTAGGCCTTTGCACTCTCCCTCCCCCAGAACATTCTCCTCCCCCTTTTCCAATCTTGGCTCCTGCTCTGTTGTCACCTCCTCAAGGAAGCCCTCCCTGGTTTCCCAGACCAAGCCAAATCGTCCCTGTTACATGCTTCATGGGCCTATGTGCAGCGGCAGTTTCACCTGTGACGATGCGCTGTGTATGATTATGACCTTACTCTTTGTCGGCACCCCACTAATTCCATGAGCAGCATAGGTCTGCTTTGCTCACCGTCACGTCCCTATTATTAAACACGGTATATGGAACATAGGATAATAAATGATGACAGCAAATGATTGCTGAATGAATGAATGAATCTGGCCCTGCCTCTAGCTTGCCGTGTGACTGGGAAAGTTACTTTGCCTCTTGATGCCTGAATACTTCGCTTGGAAACCTGCCTCAAAGAGCTATAGAGATGGTAGAGCCACACAGTGGGGTACTGCCAGGTCTACAGCATGGCAGGGGTGC